GGACAAAAAAGAATTCCCTGCCTATAGTCATCACAGATGTGGTGAAATTTTCGAACTTAAAGATATGGATAGGTAGGCAGGCAGGCAGGTAGGTATTATAATTTATTTGACATGCAAACATATCAAATTGGCTCATGTCTAATAGTTGTTTCTAATTCATTTGAAAATGAGTCTTTAAATACAAATTTTTGAACAAATTGAATATGAACGTATGAGATATACGTTGGATACATACCTTGAGGTGTAAAATTTCGTATTCTATAGCAGATCTACTTCTAGCGTATTTAGTATGTCATAACACAGATCATGAGTTAGCAACACTATTTACAAAAGAGATTTATATAACGGGTACAAGTTTATAATTTCAATACATGTAAAAAAATCAAATTCAATTGTTTGATTTTAACCAAATGAATCATAAATTAATCAGTTCAGTAGTCCAATTATCTACCTTCAATAGAAAAGAACAGAGATAAAAATACTGTGTGCTTAGCCAACAATACCACCAAATGAACCAAGGAGATAATTTCAGTCTATTTTAAGAACAAAGCAACAATGATCTCCAAAAATATAATGATAGAACGCATTATTCGATTATATACAATAATCATAGAATAATATCGCAACCAACAATTTTACAACCATTAACCCCATATCAGCACTCAAATTGAAAGAGAATGCAATTAGCAAATTGAGCAAGATTGCAAAACTCAAGTTGAAAATAGGAAAGAAATCCATTCTTCAATCAACAATTCAATACATGCAATCATTAAAACCAAAAAAACAATCCAAAATCCAACCAAAAAAGCAATCACTATCCCGTAAACTCAAAACAATGGTCTTTCTTATAATCCTTCGAGTAAGTGATTGATGATTATGTTTTCTGAAAAACAATGCTTAAACTAAACTTAAACGGAAAACATCATCAAGCTTTAAAAAAATGAATAAAAATTATGATCTCAGTTTTTTTTTTCAATTTTTAATTCCCTTTCTAGTAATAGAGCTAACAAAAATTCTAAACTATTTTCTTCTTGTTTGTTTAAATTTCCTCATTTTTCTTTTCATTCATTTCTATAGTTCCAAGACGAAAAATTATCCAAAAACTGAAGTAATAAAAAAATTAAATTTAAAACGAGAAAAATGCTCTTAACAATTAGTCCAAGACGAAAACTCAAACAAAATCAGACCAATTGGGAAAATATAAAAGAAAGATTGATTAAATAAACTAAAGTACCTGGGCAAATACCAGAGCCTCATAAACTTTGAAAAGGTTCCCAACACGAAAGCAATGAGATTATGAAGTAAAATCATTCGCTTAAAAAGTACAAAAGCAAGCACTCGCAAAAGTTCGAATTTATTACTTATACGTCAAATGCAGTGAGATTTTGGTGACTGAGAACATTCAAAACTCTAAATAATGGACGTGTGAAGAGAAGAGGTGAAAAGATTATAGAGATGAGAGAAAATAAGAGACGAAGAGATGATACTTATGAGTGACAACTGTGATGGAGAGAGATGAACGAGTCAATAATGGAGATTATAGAGTAAAAGGTAACCGGGAAGATTAGGGATTTGGAAATATATGAATCTTATTAAGGCGTTTGTTAAAAAAATACCACTAAATTATACGTCTTTAGCGGCGTTTACCCATAAATCCCACAATATATTAGTCTATCGCAGCATTTTTAACTAAAAACGTCACTATATATATTATATGAATATTGCAGCGCATTCCAATAAACGTCACTAATCGTACCATGTTGTGGCATTTTATCTTCAAATGCTGCTAGATAAATAAAATTAACGGCATTTACTCTAAAAATGCCACTAAAAGTGTCATTTTTGTTTACATTATTAATGAACAAAATATTTATTTTTTTCAACAAATTTAAATTTAATCCTAATCCTCAAGAAAATTCTAGAAAAAAAACGAGTGTGCTCCTAATAGATCTAAAATCTAACATGGAGGCAGAAACAATTATATGTGCAGGATGGTAAATTAAAGCTGGTTGTTTTAAATATATTTTTAACATTATGTTTTTTCACATTCACATGTAAAAAAAAAGTATATTTTTGAAAATTATTCAATAAAAATTGTAGTTGAAGTAGTATAAGATTTGTATATAGATTCATTAGCCTTGTATTCAAATTTTAAATAATAAAATTTTATTTAAAATTATATAAAATATAAAAATAAGAATATTCTTATAATATCATAATTTTTAATTTAAAAAAATATTTTTTATCCTTTCTCGATTAAATTGATACTCATCATTAATTCATAAAATCAATTCAATTAAAATTTTGGCTAAATTACATACATGGTCCTCCAACTATAGGGTATTACTTTGTTGAGTCCCTTAACTATTAAAAGTTATAAAATGATCGCCCAACTATAGCATGTTGCTTTATTGAGTCCCTTGACTATTAAAAGTTACAAAATCGTCACAACTATTCATATGTTCCAACTCGTCCGTTTTCATTAAAAAAAATTAATGATTATACGAGCTAGACATTAACCTGCACTGTGACATGATCAAATTTGATCCCAAAATCATTCGAATTGTATAGTCATTTGAGATTTTGGGTTTAGATTTTATCATATCCCAGCCAGTAGGTTAACGTCCAGCTCAGATGGTCATCAACTTTTTTATTAGGAAATGATGGGTTTGAAACATATGAATAGTCGAGTGACTATTTTGCGACTTTTAATAGTTGAGTGACTCAACAAAGCAATTCCATATAGTCAAAGGATCATTTTGTAACTTTTAATAGTTAGAGACTCAAAAAAATAACACCCTTTAGTCAAGGACCATTTGTGAACTTTACTCTAAAATTTTCTATAATAAGTGTGCATATAAAGATAAGTATTTATCGCAAAAGGAGTAATTTAAATTGTAGACCATTAATTATGAATGTGGAAAAGGGAGGTGCTATATGGAAAATGAGAAATGTTAACTTAGTCGAGAAATAATGTGTAGTGGTAATAACAGGGTTCAAAGTGGTAAGCAGTTTGATATTGCTTAAGCAAGGTCTCAGGTTCGAGTCCTTGTGTATGTAGAAAATCCCTGCTGGGAGACTCACCTATCAAAACCAGGTGTACAACCCGAGTCAGTCCAGATTAGACAAGGCAAAGCCTTGGAACTGGAGGGCAACCAAAACAAAAATGTGCAATGGTAAATTATATTGTAGTATAGGGATGTAAATGAACAGAGTTGAACGAATAAAATTATGTGTGTGTTTATTTTTTAAGGTATTCATACTCTATTTGTGTTTTGTTTAAATTCTTAACATTGTGTTTGTGTTCGTTTATTTATTTTTGAAGGTGTTCATGTTCATTTATTCATTATTTGCGAACATGTCCATTTATATATTCACATATGTTCGTTTATCATTCATTTATTGTTTTTTTAGCGTTTGTTTTGTGTCGCTTATCGTTCGTTTATATGTTCAATTTTTAGTTTTACCCTTTCATTTGCAAGCTAAAGAAAGTAGTATTACACAACTAGTGTTTAAACTCCTTAAAATTCATAGTTTAAATTTCATGTTTTATTATGTGTTCAATTTAGTTCATACCTTCATCGATATTTAAAATGTAAAAAAATAAAAGAAAATGAGAATCGGGAAAAACGAGCTTATTCATGAACATAAATGAACGAATCAATAAACGAACTCATAACAGAGCTTGTTCATGAACATAAACGAAATGAACACATCTTTGTTCGTATTTGTTCGTTTATTAAAGGAACATAAAAAAATACTCGCTTATTCAGCTTAACAAACGAACATAAACTAATGTTATACGAACAATTCACAAACAATTCGCCGAACACTTTGTTCATTTACACCCTTATATACTATGAAGGACATAATTCAAGTTAAAACTTTAAAATTAATTTTATCAAAGGATAATTATGAATCTAAACATATTCAGCGAATATTAAAAATACTAAAAATATATAAATTTAAAACATTTATGTAATCATGAAAGTGGGATATTTCAATCTGTTTTTACTTCAAAGTTTAAATTCACTGTAGCATATTTAATTAAACCACAGTAGAAAAGTCATTCAAATTGATATAGACAGAAAAACAAGGAAATTAAGACCTCATATTCACAATTACGGAAATAAACAGAGCATTTAAGCCTAAAAACAAGTATATATATAATAAGCAAGCTAAAGCAAAGCAAAGCAAAAATAATGAAGACAGTGGTGCACATATTAAGTAAGGAAGAAGATGATCCGACACTATCCGATGAGGAACAAGATTCCCAGTAGGACCACCAACACATGCATTTCCCTATGCAGAAGCTACTGCCCACTGCTGTGGTTTCAATTTCCCCAATCATCCTCCACAACAACTGCACATCTTTTGGTCGCGAGATCAAGCAAATTATCACAGAATATGTATATATGGTAGCAGATTACCCATCAGAAAATCTTTACCTTATAGAGAGAACCAGGTCCCTCATTTACTAGCAATGTAGTTGAATTCTGACTTCCTTCACTGCTACTATTCATTGCACTCCCAAGGCCAAAAATAAATACATCTTTTAATGATTTGTCATTAAGACATGGAAGTTTTATTACATACGCGTCTATATGGCCAGTTCAGCTTTTGAGAAACCTAAGGCATGGAGGAAGAAGAAGAAGGACCAAATGTTGAGAAAAGAACATTACATGCCATGCGTCACCCTCAAACTCTAAGCTCCATTGATCTCTCCATTTTCTCAAGCGCTTAAATCAATGTTAACTTCATAAGCGAGCTAGCTAGTGGAGGATTTGAAGTAAAAAATGACTGATAAAAAACATGAACTATAAAATGCAGAGAGAGGCGCACGTAAAGGAAATCAAGCAATCTTATGTTTATATATATATATTGGTCTCCAAATGGAAATCATGCTTCATGCTTAGTTCCTTTGCTTGTCAACTCGGTTAAAGTTTTCTTAGTTGACCAAACCAGTGTTTAGAGCTCTTCCATTTGCATTGCATTGCATGTCTCCACTTTGCTTCGATGCTCCATTATCTAAACCCACATCCACATTAAAATAAAGCTTTCGAAATGCAACAAAAAAGAAAATAGATTAGAGCTAAAATCAAGTTCCCATTAACATTACGAACTACCCTAATCTAAACCAAACTTGATAATACTATTAAATATTAATAATCCATCCCCAACAATATAATCATTTGAACTTAGCCAACCGACTTTTTTAAAGTTGTTTCTATGGTTTCTTGCCAAGAGTGTGCTTGTTGTTATGCAACCAGACTTTCAAAACATGCCTTTTCACCCCAGTTTCGTTGCAGAACTGTTGAACAATCTCTTCATCGTGCTTTTGAATACGCCAACCTAAACGCTCAGCCAACGCCAACATCATATCCTTCTGTTCTTGCGTAAACTTTGTTCTGAATCTCTTCCTTGAGCTCCCCTGATTCGAACCGTCCTCTTGATCGTCCCGGCTGTGTCCCGAGGTTGACGGTAAAGCTAATGGCCTTTGCTGTCCAGCCACGTGGAGGTAACCCGTTGGTTCTCTAAAGTAAGGCGTGAATTGAGGTAGCTGGTGGTGGTGGAAGTAGATGTCCGTGGTGGGAAGCTTCTCTAAGTAAGGCGTGAATTGAGGTAGCTGGTGGTGGTGGAAGTAGATGTCCGTGGTGGGAAGCTCCGATTCCTTACGGTGGAAGTTACGGTGACAGTTACAAGCTGCGCATTTGAGAGCATCGAGGGTACCTTCAGTTCCAGCCGGCATGAACTCACCGCAACCGTCGACAGCGTGACCGCCGATTCCCACGGCGTGGTTCTTCAAACACTCCCTATAGCTGGGCTTCCTCTGCTGCTGCTGCTGACCTGTTGGAGTTGCTGAACTCGGTTCAACACCTGACATTTTGACTGTGGATGAGTTAAAAAGCGAGTCATAACTGGGGGCCAAACCCATCTCTTCTTCTTGCTCTTCGTGGTCCTCAAACTCCATCTCTTCTTCTTGCTCTTGGTTGGGGGGGTGTTTCCTCTCTGCAAAAAGAAAAAAAAATGGGCTCAAAGTGGTCGTTCGATCTTTCTTGATATAAGATCTCTCATTCCTCACATCATCTCCCTTGGATAATTTACTTATTACTTTTTTTTTGACAGATTTTTACTTATTACTTTTTTTTTTGACAGATTTTTACTTATTACTTTTGTTTGTCTCTCTATGTATAGATATGATGTACACGGTTAAGAAAATATAAAAATATAAAAAATATTAATATTATTTTGTAAAATTTTACTTAAAATATTATTTTTTATTGAAAATATTAATTTCGTTAACTAATTTTTTATATAACCTAATATTAACATTTTAATAGAAAAAAAAATATTTTAACTAAAATTTTACCGTAAATATTAAACATTTTAAATAGCATCAAATATTATATTTTTGATAAAAAAATATTTTTTGATAAAAAATTATATTTTATATAACGTTTTACCGAAAATATTTAGAAAATATTAATATTTTCTGTAGTATATTTTTTTAAGCTTATGTTAAGGCAGTCACCTGAGACACGATGTCTCTTGATTTTTACCGCACTGTGAATATGATTTACCTTGTTTGTTTTCACTGTGGACTGACTGAGGTGGGTACAGAGGAAATAGCTTGGGTTTGGGGATTGTCCACCATTGGCTAAAATCTGCAGAGCGGACAAGAAAAGGATTCCAAACCTTCACGCGCCAAACCACGCACTTCACTTGCGAGTATCAATTTAAAACTTAAAAATGCATTAATAAGAATATATAATTCGTTGGCCGTTTGAAGCTTCGATAAGGGGTTCTACGCATCGAGACGATGTGGTTCGTTTTGATGGACATGCAAGCAAAAGGCCTCATGATGGGACTTGGACCCACTAACGGATCTCTTGTGCTGCTCGACTCGCGGTTTCAGTTTTTTATACTTATGCTTAGGCTGGTCGGAGCTTCGGTTCTCGACTTTTGTACTTTGATCTAGGAGCTCTGTCCTTGTTCCGAGCTTTAGTTTTTGTTCTTTTGTACCCAGCCCCGACTCCTTCGCTTGTAAAAACCCTTTTTATTGAACGAAATGATGTTAAAGAATATAAGTGAATTTTGTCTGACTTGATTAATTATATTTGCCCCAATGTCACGTTACATCTTGAGGGTGCCCCTTGAAGCTTTTTCGTGTTCTAAATGTTATTAAAGTTTTAATTTAGTTTGATTTTTGTTCCATCATTGAATATAGTGTTTAGTGGCTATATAAAATTATTGAATTCAGTAAGAGGTGCTACATAAAGTATGTTAAAATTCTGTATGAGAATTATTGATTTTTTATATGTATAAAGATCACTTTTTTAATTGTTACGAACTATAAGATCATAAAATAAGAATATATTAAATTACGTGAAATACTATAAACAGAAAAAATCACTAATAATCAATGGAGTTGGTTCAAGTGGTAAGCAGTTTTATATCGCTTAAGTACGGTCTCAGGTTTGAGTCTTTATGTATGCAGAAAATCTCTGTTTGGAGACTCACTCACCAAAATTAGGTGTACAATCCAAATTAATCAAGATTAGTCAAGATGAAACATTGGAACCGAAGGCAAAAAAAAATCACTAACAAATTAAAAATTTTCACTACATCAAAAATAAATTACAAGAGAAACTAAAGAAATTGCACTAACCGTGACTCAAACACACTAATTTGCACAAAAATTATTTTACCTTGTTCTATCCTTAGGCTAAGTACATATTTATAGGTTGGTTGAATACGGTGTGTGTCAACAATCTAACATCCAAAGCTCCAAATACAGAAACTTTAGTTTGTCAAATCATGAGAAATAAGAATGATGAGATTCACAAGCTTTAACAGTTTCAAACAAATCTGAAAATTTTGTGATCTGTAAGCTAGAAAAAGGAGATGGACAGTAGAATAAAAATTCTGCCACGGTGCAACCTTTATAGTATCACAAAATACTAATGCTGTTTGGGGTATATCTCAAAAAAATAATTTTTGGGGTTTTTTAATATAATAATGCCAATAATTTTAGTATATAATTTCCTTTTAGGAAAGAATCCCACTTTTCCAAACCAAACATAATTGACATATGAAGTGACACTCCATTGCCCTTTGATCAACTTACCCTTTCCACATCAACGCCTATAGTTGCTCTTTTACTCCGTGAAATATTATCACTAAATTTAATAATTAGCAATGTTATTAAAATCGGATCGGATCGGCCGGTTCGATCGGTTGAACCGTGAACCGGTGGCCTGTCCGGTCCGGTTAACTCCCAAAATCGGATTAGCACAAAATCGGTAAAGAACCGGAAGAACCGGCTGAAAACCGGGGTGAACCGGCTAAAAACCGACAAAACCGATTTGAACCGCCGGTTCACTTTTTTTCTTTAAAAAAAATTAAACCAAACAACGTCGTTTGTTCAACGAGCCGAGTCAAATTCGAGTATTGCTGAGCTCGACTTGAACTCGAAAACTTTAAAAGTAAGATCAACTCGACTCTCAAAAACTCACGAGCTAAAAATTATCAACTCGAAATATAATATTAAAACTTGAAATCGAAAAGGCTCGAACTCAAAAAAAAATTAGAAGTTCGATTGAAGCCTAAAATTTGAGCTCAATCGAAGCCTAAAATTTGAACTCAATTGAAGCAAAAGAATAGTTCGCTTTGTGCTCACCAAAAGGCTCCATGATTTTGAATGTCAAATTACCTCTATTATTTATAGAAGTAAGTTGGGATGCTCTTCTATGTTTCTTAGCCATGTGGGATTGTTTTGTTCTCATATTTTTACTCTTTAAACTTTTGGGATACTCTTCTATGTTTCTTAGCCATGTGGGATTGTTTTTCTAAAACAATTAAACCAAATGACATCATTTGTTATGATTTTTTAAACCCCAATTTTATTTTTTTAATTATAGTTATATAATTATATTTATTATTTAATATGTTTTACCTTAAATATTATGTTGTAGTTGATTTGAATCATTTTGTTTTACTTGATTTTATGGTTTTTCATTTATACATATTATGACTTGTGATATTTTTATACCTTTTAATATTGTAAACTTAAAAAAAGTGTTACATATATATTAATATTGTTTTGAATATTATGTAAAATTAAAAAAAAAAATTATTTTATATAAAATTCGGTTCAACCACGATTAAACCCGATTGAATCAATGAACCACTACCTTCATCGGTTCAATGTCCGATCCGATTTTGAAAACATTGATAATTAGAATTGCTGATATTGAGAAAGGGGACAGCGTTGAATATAATCGTCACTTTGATGAACCGTTGGTTGTGGTTTCGAGCGCGCTAACCCTAAAGTTTGTGTTACGCCCTTTTTTACCAATTGGGAAACGGAATTCCAACAGTTGACCACTCTTCATCTTTTAAAAGGTTAGTTATGTTTAAGGCGTTATTATATTAAAACCACCCATTAAATTTTTTTTTTGAGAAACAGCCCTAAATCAGCTTAGTAAAAAAATACTTTCAAACTGTCCACACGTACGATGATATCGTGTTCTAAAAAAAGAGTTTCATGCATTTATTATTGTATTTATCTAAAATTAAATGATTTTATCTGGAAAAGTTAATGGGTCTCGCGTCCTAAAAACACGAGCTCCATTAAACTCATTTTATAGAACGCGAGTTAATCTGGTGATTTTTCGGGAAAATCACCCTAGGGACCTTTATTTCCTTGTCAAACACCGTTCAGATTATATTTCTCGATCTATCACCCTTTGCAGGAAGGCGTGCTCCTACACCACGCTTTACGTCACGTGGGATAAGGCGCGCCCCTGCAACGAGTCTTGTTAAACGTGTAAAAAATTCGGGTGTTAGTTTTGTAAATATTTTTAAAATGGTATTAAATATGTAATTAATTTCTGTTAGGGTGATATTTATGTAAAAACATCAACTTTATCTATTAATTTTTTTGTGATATTATTTTTATCATAGTTAATAATGTTTATTGAATTTTAAAATTAATTGTTTAAAAATATAAAATTATTAAAATAAATTTTTAATTACAATTGATAAATCAAATGAATTATTATTATTTTTTAAAAAATAAATAACAATACAAAAGAAAAGAAATAAAATTCAATAAAATTCAATAAAAATAGAAGGTAAACTACAAAATATCACCTCTTTATTTAAAATATTCTTTCTAATATTAATATAAAAAAAATATTAAAAAAATATTAAATTTTAATTTTATGAAAAATTAATAAACATTATTATCTGTTGTTAAAAAATAATAATTAATGAATAATAATTCATTTGATCCCTCAATTGTAATTAAAAGTTTATTTTAGTCAAGTTTATGATTGTTAAACAGTCGTAGGTGTGGAAAGCTACAGGAATCGAATGAAAATTCGATCGTACAAAGTCAATAACTCAAAATTGTCTAACTGCTGTCTAAATATTAACTCAATTGTACCACGAATAAACATAAGACCAAAGAGTTGATTTTTTTCTGCTCAATATTCACAAAAACTGTTTTGTCTCATCATTTTCTCCCGCGTATAAGCTCCTTTCTTTTTAAATTCTTTTCTGTTGAATATAGTTGCCCACGTGCACATAGAAATATCAAAAGTAGAGTGGCTTTATTGCAAAAGTCAATTGTAATTAAAAGCTTATTTTAATATTTTTTATATTTTTAAACAATTAATTTTAAAAGTCAATAAATTTTTCAAAAATATATGAAATTTATAATTTTTTAAATTATAAAATATTTATCATCATATCATCATCATTTTGTAAAAGAAATACTAGTTATAAAATTTTTATAAAATTATTTATATTTTTAAATATTCTTTTACAAATTATTTTATAACTCGACAAATTTTGATTTTTGCATGAAATTACACAATACATATATTCTTTTGCATGAATGTTATAAAAAGAAAGAAGCTCATACGCGGTAGAAAATGATGAGACAAAACAGTTTTGTGAAGATTG